TATATATATATATATATATATATATATATATATAGATATATGTATAGGTATATTAATACGTAGATCACCGAGTGTGACGGTGTATGACACCTCGAATACACCTGTCGATCAAACTCCCGTATTCTTACGCGGTTAATCGTTCACGTGACCACGGCGCACCTATCTCTTCTTCCGCTGTATAATAAAGACCTTTTCCGTTTTCAGAAAAATTCATTTGTACAAATTATGCATTAACATCAATATCTAATATCTAAAGACGCTACTTGTATCCACATATCATTCCGAACACTTAACGGATCAGGAACGTAGGTACCTATTGTACGTACAAAGCAATACTCGTTCTTGTAAGCCAAATTTCATATAGAAAATGTATATGTACGCATATTGAACGCGTACATACGTATGTACATGCGTTCGTGCGAAAGCACATTCTACACGCTCTTGATAATTGGAGACGGGCGAGAATCTTATCTAAATAAAAAATTTGTAATGCAGATAAAATATGTTTGATGAAAGATGTTTCTTAGCATTCTACTGCCATGAATTCTGAGCTGTCTAGATTTGAGAATAAGGTCACCTTTACCTAGCCGACAATCATTCTATCGACACTTCGATTTTCAAAGAAATCGAACCTAAAGAAACGTTAGGTATCGTAGATTTTCTGCGTGAAACCTAATCACGCATCTCGAGTCACCTCTCGAGCGCCGTAAGTAGAATTGGCGAGCAATGGTCAGACGTTAATGAGCTGTATCGTACCCCGGACAATATTAACCCTTTGCACTCGAGGTCTTTTTTCTGGTATCTGCCAGCAACTCGGGATGTTTCTTAGCGTTCTATTGGCATGAATTCTAATTTATCTAAATTTGAGAATAATGTCACCTTTACCACGGCGACGATCGTTTTATCGACACCTCGTGCTCCAGAGAGATCAAACCTAAAGAAACATCAGGTATTGTAGATTTGCTGCGCGAAACCTAACGTTGACTGACAGTCACCTCTCGAGTGCAAAGTGTCAAGTTTCTTCTCATGTATACTTTGATTTGCCTATCGTACATTTACGTAGGAGTGATGCGTTTGTTTTCCATCGTGAACACACTTAGTGCGAACGATCTATCGATTTCATACCCTAAAAGAAGGAAATCCGCACACAATTTCGATTCAAATCACCAGTCTTTTCCAATTCTCTTACAGAATCATTTCCTTTTTAATTTATTTATCTAACGTCGCATCACCTTTCAGCCATTACCGACCACAATGCAATACATTCTTACATTTCGTGTCCCGTTACATTCGTACACGTCAATTGGTTCTCATCTGTTATTTCGATTAAAAAATGTTAAACTACCCAAGACTAATTACGCGCTAAATATCTTCAATTGTTTCGATTTTCTCGCGATAAGTTACCGTTCCTTTTACATGTTTAATTGGTTTTTTTATCTGTTATTTCGATTTAAAAAATGTTAAACTACCCAAGACTAATTACGCGCTAAATATCTTCAATTGTTTCGATTTTCTCGCGATAAGTTACCGTTCCTTTTACATGTTTTCTTTCTATTTTGAGAGAATATAGAATCACGCAAAGTAAATTCCGTCGGTAATTACTCGTAACGACAACCGCAACGACACTATCTCGCGATTAACACGATTGTTTATTTACAACGGAGATCTCGGGCCTGGTAGATGAACGCGATTGATGAAACTAATATAAAAAAAAAAAAAAAAAAAAAAAGAAAGAGTAAGAAAACCGAAAATATAATACTACACTTATATCTGGATCATTAAAACGGGCGAGGGATGAAAAGAAGAAGGGTGACGTGGGAAAAAGAGAGAGAAAGAAAGCGTCGTCCAGGAAGAAAGGCTCGTCGGACAATCACAGAGAAAATCAGATGGAAAGGGAAAAAGAGAAATACAGCGTAGCGAACAGAAAGGCTCCGTACAGGAGGCAAGCATAGAACGTCAACGAGAGAAAAAGCGAGAGCAAGAGAGAACTGTACTCAGTGCATGCAATCTTTTTAATTATGAAAACACGGCTTTGTGTTTCATTTTGTTTTGTCGTCAGGGGCGCTATTCTATTCGGGCCCTTCTCCTTCCTCATCCGGCTGGCTCTTCCTTTTTTTTTATATTATAACGCGAGCGCGAGCGCGCGCGCGCGCGCGTACCGCCGAACCCGGGAGAGGGTATGCAAGCCTGGATAGGGTTCAGGAGAGGGGCAAAGATAGGGCAGGGTGAGATTGCTTTAGTAATGAATTACATGGCTTCGGGGTATGTGCCTCAGTCTGATGCGCTATACGAATACCGAGCATCACTTTCTGCCCTACGCTACCGTTCCCACCACCAACACCCGCCTTCCTTCTTTCCTCTTCCCTTTTCTCTTCTCCTTCTTCTTCTACATCTCATTTTTCTCCTTACACATTTCCCTCCTCGTCCTCACCTTTCCCCGCGATTTCTCCTTTCTTCTTACTTCTATCGTCGCTATTTCATTTTCACCATTTTCCCGCGGAATTTAGAGTTTGCAGTTTTCGAACACGTTTCTTTCATTATTACAATAATCTCCCTGGGAAAACTGTCTTAGACAAATCGCGAAGGAACGGTGTAAAGTAAAAAAGGCTTTCTCAGAAGGGGCTGCAGCGTTTTTCTTAATACGAGAATTTTTTTCTAATTCGTTTAGAAATGTTTGATTTTCATATCGGTATAATTTTCGGATTGCTTTTCAGTAAATAATTAAATTCTAGAACCCCTTTCGAGAATGCATTCGCGTTCACGTGCGTATAAAGAAAATTTAAATAAATTCACAAGGCAAAATAGAAAGGCGTTAGTCGTCGATTTACACTAAGCATGATAGACTTTGTTTTGTTAATCTTTATAATAATCTCCTTGGGAAAACTGTCTTAGACAAATCGCGAAGGAACGGTGTAAAGTAAAAAAGGCTTTCCCAGAAGGGGCTGCAGCGTTTTTCTTGAAACGAGAATTTTTTTCTAATTCGTTTAGAAATGTTTGATTTTCATATCGGTATAATTTTCGGATTGCTTTTCAGTAAATAATTAAATTCTAGAACCTCTTTCGAGAATGCATTCGCGTTCACGTGCGTATAAAGAAAATTTAAATAAATTAACAAGGCAAAGTAGAAAAGCGTTACTCATCGATTTACACTAAGCATAATAGACTCTTAAAACAGCCAAAACTCTTCGGTGCAGCTTCTTTTATAGCGGGAAATTCATACTTAATGACTGCAATTATCCCGATTAAGTGTTTAATCCCAATTGAAAACACTGTATCTTGGAAACTATTTCCAAGTAAAGGCATTATTCTCTACAATATGCGAAAGTTAGAAATCTCAAAATATCTATGTTTCGTTCCAAGAGTTGTAACTCTCTAAAATAGATGAACATTTCACGTAAAAACATACAAATATAGCGTGTACTAGTTCTTGAAATAGTCTTTGGAATAACGTGATTTACGTAATTAGTATTTCAAACGCACACAATTTCGCCATTTAAATGTTTTGCCTAGACGTACTAGTTCTCAAAATATTTTATAAGTATAACGATACCAAAAGAGATACGTTCTTAAAGTCGGACTATTTTATACGTAATGCGATTCTTGTTCGTACATTTCGCAACGAGATGGAGCAGAGTGGGTTAATGGAAGTGAGAATCCTTTGTAATCGAAATAAAAATGTATGTAACGCTATTTCCGATTTCTTTATGACTGTTACTTATTGGAGTCAAGGACTATATTATAATAAGAAGTATGATTTTGTATAACATACCAACTTCAGGATCGGTAATAATTAACGACGTGCAATGTTCCTTGAAAACGATTACAAGGAATATATCTTACAGTTAAGTGAATCCTTTGAATAGTAAAACAATGAGTATCTCATCGATCTATTTAATATCACATGTACGCTTCGATTTTTCTCTCTATAATTTGTAGAATTTTCAAAGACATTCCCAGACATGAAAAGTTAATTCAACGCGTCAAGATTTATTATAAAGACGCATAAGATATAAATGTTCGAGTTCAACGAACGATAAAGAATAACAATGTAACATCGCAGTATATGAAACTTTTTAGATAAAGCAGAATATTTTGGCAATATTTTATATACTTCATATGTAAGCGAATTTTTGCTTTCCGTAATAATCTATCGGGTTTCAACGTTTAATTAAAATTGTATCGATTTCAAGGCTCGAAAAATGAAACGTCAAGTAAATAAAACTCGGTACTTTCGACGTCTCTTTCGACGCCTTTAAAATTGTATTGATTTTAAGGCTCGAAAAATGAAACGTCAAGTAAATAAAACTCGGTACTTTCGACGTCTCTTTCGACGCCTTTAAAATTGTATTGATTTTAAGGCTTGAAAAATGAAACGTCAATTGAATAACAGTCGGTACTTTCGACATCTCTTTCGACGCCTTTAAAATTGTATTGATTTTAAGGCTTGAAAAATGAAACGTCAATTGAATAACAGTCGGTACTTTCGACATCTTTTTCAGCGTTTAATCAAGAGACAAAGGCCGCCAAAGCTGCTCGTTACATTTCCGTTACGTACGGAAAGGATGCGATGCCTGAAAGAACAACTCGACGATGATTTTCACGGTTCAAAAATCGTAATTTCGACCTAATTTCGACGAAAAACGAAGATGTCGAAAACGGTGATATTATTCCGTGGATTGTACACGCACGAAGTCTGAGAATGAGAAAAAAGGTAAGTAACGCGTAAAAATGAAAAAGGGTAAATGGCAAGAAAAAGGACTCTGTTAAGCGTTGCTTAACACTTTGCCGAAATGTTTGATTTTATTCGGAGAATGTGAATGTTGAGAAAACGGTCGGGTTTTGCGAAACGATCGAACGCAACGGTAAAGGAGCGAATTGGTTAGGAGAAAATAATATTTAGGTAACGCGAGGTGTAAAGCGAAGGAAAGATGTTGAAAAAAAAGAAGAAAAAAAAAAAAGAAAACCGAAAATTAAGTACCATCCCTCTCTCGAGGAAAAAATCTGCGCGGTACGATTTAGTGAATTTTCCACAAGAGGGGTGTGTACTTATCTCCATGGAGGTGGGACCGCCTCCGAAACGGATGGACCAATCGCGTGATGTAAACCCAACCCCCGTTCCAGCGGGTAACACGGGGCTTGATCGAGGGTGAACTCTCGAAAGGAGACTTCAGTTTCCTCGGCATCGTCTATCGAGAACGATAAAAGCGACTCTCTCGCAGTGAGGATACTGGGGAAAAAAGAAGGAAACTTTTTTGGTAAAAACAACCGATTTGGTTCTTGAGCATCCGAAGAGATGGCAGGGCCGTATCTTTCACCTTTGGGGCCTCAAGCTGATTTGCTCACCGAATATATGTTCGGAAGACGTCGTCAGGTCAGTGTACGTTTCCTTTCCGCATCATTTTCATTATTTCTTCTTTATTCTTTCTTATTTCTTACTTCTTCTTTCTTATTGTAGCTCTCTTTCAATTATTACGCATCGTTGATTCGCTTCGCACTCGACAACACTTCGCGAGCTTAACGCGGATAACGTTCAACGGTTTCATCAATAAATTCATCTATAAACATATTATTTGTTAATATTTCGAGTATAATTACATCTTAAACAACGGAGGTTATTAATATTATGTTCTGTGCTTTTTATGTGCGTAGCCTAGCCTTCTAAACAGCTGAGATAGAACTCCTTGCAACGATTGTTGAACTGTCGAATATTGTAACGAATATGTTAGAATTATTTGAAATGCGTACCAGTGTAGACTTGTAGATAGAGCAGATAAACATTGGGTTGTTCGGAAAATAATTTCGTTTTCGTTGTTCACGCCATAA